TTACCATAACTTCCCAACTGTGAGCAAGTGGACATGCATGCAGGCACCCATGGAATGTTTGAGTTTGGGGAGGCCCAACCAGGAAGGGATGTGGAGGCAAGGGGTCTTTTGTTAGATTCAACTGCTCACATACTTTGTCTACCCATCTTCTGTGAGTACGACAAGCTTTAGAGTGTCATGGGTAGAGTGGACACGGATGATTTGGAATAAGAGAGTAGAATGGCCAGGGAAAGCAGTTAGTTATTTCCCTGTCCCTATTATCAAAGGCTGAAGCTCTTCAGGCTCATCTAATATGTCATTATCAACCAACAGAGGCTTAATTCAGCTTACAGGGAATATACAATAATGTGGGCGGTGTATGCCTCACTCTATGATGACTTTATGGGAAAATGATCATTTGTCATCATGGCAAGAAACCTTCAAAAGAACAACCAACCAAGTATTTTGTTACAGAGAGAATTCACTATAATAACTAAAGCTGCCACTCCTCGGAAGGAAGGTTGGGCAATCCTACTTCTGTAGTGATACTGCCTCGGAAACCCAAGGAGGGGTCGCTATGAGTCGGGGCTGACTCGACGGCACATAACAACAACAACAACAATAAGCAGGGATGGATTACCCAATAAGCAAATAAACATAAGACTTGTGCTTACTTATGAATTGGTAGAGAACAATTTCATACGACTTTCATCACATCTTTGGTCAAAAACATGTGAAACTGTTCACTACAGATTGTAAGTACATGCAAATAATCCCGTGCTTATCTTATGCAGTGCAGTGAGTTGCTTAATGTAGCCCTTCCAGCCATAGTCCTCCATTTAGCTGTATTGTAAATCCTAGCCTCTATGCCTGTGGTTATGGTTCCATTTTGTTGTGAGTTGTCTGTTGAATTAATGAGGTAGGATTCAGGTGGGATGTATCTTGAATTCTGCCTTGCTGGAAGGTGTTACTCAAGTCACCACCCTTAGTTTCTTGAGGTTATATATGTGAATGTTCTGGCAAAGTTAGCTCTCTTTCTCTGGATTGTTCATCAATGTCTCATCCCCAGACTTCAGACAACAGCCAGTCATTTGACCTGCCAATTTGGGTTCATCAGCCTCTGAAACTAGGTGATTGAGGAGAATCCTCCAGATTGAAGCCTGACCCATGGATTTGGGACTTAACAGCCTCCACACCACCATGTGAACCATTTCTTTGGCAGTTTGTAAGCTTTGTAAGACATTACAGTGAAATATTGAACCCTAAGACAGGAAGGAGAATAGTGAGGGGGAGAAGGAACTGATGTTAGAGATGACAGAGTAGGACAGCAGTTTGGAAAAGTTGGACATTTGGGACATCTTTAACCTCTACTTCATAGGGAACAGCCTTGTGCTGATCTTTCTGAAAAATTATTCAAACACCTGGCATACTGAGTATTCCATTCCTGTCAGAGATTGTAGGAGCTCTGGTGGCTTAGTGCCTAAGGCATTTGACTGCTAACCAGAAGGCTGGTCGTTCAAACCTACCAGCCACTCCTCCGAAAGAAGGTTGGGCAATCTACTTCTGTAGAGATACCACCTTGGAAACCCAAGGAGGGGTCGCCATGAATCGGGACTGACTCGACGGTGGTGAGTTTGGAGTTTTTTTGGAGTCAGAGATTGTAAATTTGAAGAGAAGTTTTGATTCTGTAGGAAGGCTGTGAAGTTGGGAGACATACAGGTGCCAACCATATGTAGAAGCAGAATCTTTGATGTGGTGAAAAAATTTGAAAATTTTCACTACAGATTAGTAAGTAAACACAGGTAACCCCATGCTTACCTTGCTTACTGGGTAATCTGACACTGGCTAAGTAAAGATTTTAGAGTCACGTAGCCCTGAGTTCAAATCCTGTCTCTACTACTTATAGCTGTGTGACTCAGGCAGGTTTTTTTTTTTAAATTCTGTGCCCTTCAGATTCTTCACTTTGTGCAATGTGGATGATGATGATAATAATAATAATACCTACCAGAAACAGGTGTAGAGAGAGTAAATGAGATCAAGTAATTACTTAGCATAGCACCAGAGTTCTGAGAGTTAGCAGCTGTTAAAACTATCATTGTTGTTACTATTATTGTTACTTTCTCCTTGTGTACTTTCATTACTAAAAAGATGCCACATTTGTAGCCATGCTCTTAGACTCTAGAATCTTAGATCTAGAGGGGCCTGCAGGTCTATGTTCTTAGAATACTAGTCCCATCAGATGGCCTGAGAAATAGAGTTCTGTGGTCAAAAGTATTTGGGGGAGTGCTGAGTATATCCCTCCTTGCTGATTAGTACATTCGTATGCATGTTAGTCTATTAAAGGCTCTGAGAAATTATGCAGGAAAGAATCCTGTTTAAATTTGTTTAACTCCAATTAGTCCAAAGATAAGAGGGACTATGAGGACCTCAGCGGCCACAACTGGAGACCAGAAGAACTAAATGGTGCCCAGCTACCAATGCCAACCACTCAGAAAGGGATCAAATCTGGAGATCCTGGATAGAGTGGAAGGAAAAATGTGGAAAAAATTCAAAAACACAAAAATGACCAGAATTTCTGGTCAGAGAGAGATGGAACCCCTGAGACTATGGCCCCGGGTTACCTTTCGGGCCTAGAAATGGACTCACTTACAAGGATTGGCTCTTAGCCCATACAGAACACCTACCACGGCTGATGTACCCACCCAGTCTAGGGAGATGCACCCCTTGAATCAATCAGCCATGAGACACCAGAAGGGTAGCACTCACATAGAGGGAAAGCTGGACAGACAGGAATGCATGGATGAGAAGGGCACAGGGAGGGGGTGGTCACACGGGGAGAGGGGAGGAGAGCTTTTTATGGTTCAGGATGGTAACTGGGGCTATGGAGTCAGATGTGGATGAACTTTTGAATGTAAAACAAGTTTGCTATGTAAATTTGCACCCAAAGCACAATAAAAATTTTAAAAATAAATAAATAAAAATAAATAAATTTGTTTAACCCACTGGAAACTTATATTATTTTTGACCATAGAACATCTTCTACCCTCAAATTTAAGAATTTTTCCCCAATACCTATTTTCAGGATAAAGAAGCCCTGGTGGCACACTGGTTAAGCGCTCAGCTGCTAACAGAAAGGTTAGTGGTTCAAATCCACTAGCTGTTCTGTAAGAAAAAGTTGTGGCAGTCTGCTTCTGTAAAGATTGCAGTCTGGAAAACCCTACGGGGCAGTTCTACTCTGTCCTATAGGGTTGCTATGAATTAAAATCAACTAGAAGACCACAGATTTTATTCTCAGGATACAGGAGATGCTGATTTCATTAAAACATTTTATTTTATAGATGAGGAAACTGAGATCCAGAGAAAGGATGTAGTTCATCCAATGCCACACCACTGGTCCTTGATGGAACTGGGGTCAGAACTCAGGCTTCCTGCCTTCTAACCAGATACATGTGTAGGCCTCATCCTACAAATGAGAGCTTCAGTTCAGTTCATGGTAGCGGGGCGTGGAGAGAAGGGGCTGCTGGCTTAGCTTGGGCCTTGGTAGGAAGTGTGGATGGTTCACTACTACAGAGAGGGGAGACTTCTTCAGGTGCTGAGATGTTTTGCCCCCTCAAAGGGCTAGCTAGGGGTCAGGAGGTGGTGATACTTCGATGCCAGCCCCCAGCACCTGCTACTTCCCTAGCCCTAGACAAGGATACAGGCTGCCCACTCTTCTGGGAAGGGTGGAGGAATGGACATTTGGAACTCTGATGCATCAATTCTTTAAGGGGAAGAAATTTGTCCACGTACACTGACCTTATCTGGTCTACCACTTGATGTCACATCTGGCTTTTGGTCAGTTATAACCCAGCTGGAGCCTCCTTTTCAGTGACTAACTATCCACACCTTTGTCTTTGACCTGGTCCTTGCCTGGCCCCTAGAGGAAGTAGCAATCACTAATTGCCTGCATTCATAGCTGGAAACCAGAAGGGGGCACTGGTACCTGACTTCCTGTTCTAATCTAGACTGCCCTCTCCACGTTCCTCTCAGACCTCTAGTGAGGCAACACCAGCAGTTCACCCTCTCTAGGTTTCTAGGACACAAAGCCATCCACCCCACCCCACCCCAACTCCTATCCCACCCCTGACAGCAGGGATGTTTCTGGGCTCTCCCACTCTCCCTCAGTCTTCACTGCCAGACCCCAGCAGGAGCCCTCTCAGGGCCAACTCAGGGTCAGCAAAGGTGCCTGGAGATAGTCAGGTATAGACCACCACAGAGAGGGAGATTCCCCACAGCAGCTGTTCCAGGGGCCCACTGAAGCTGCAGAACCCCTCAGAGATCTGCCACCAAGACCCAGAGCAAGGAGGACAATTTGGAACCAGGGCTCCCTTTCCTCCACCATAAGAAGGAGGCATGTAAACTCATTTCATTTTTCCCTCCCACAGCATCTTTCAGGGCTTGAAGAACTTGCTGCAGGGATGGGAGTGGAATAAGGGGTTCAGAGTCAATACTTCCAAAATCTATGATGAGATCATGAGGAAGGCGGAGTGACATTTCAAGTTTTAAGTTATTTCAACATGGCAAAATTTTTGTTTGTAAGCCATCCTCTAATCAATACAGGAAACTCGGGTGGATCAGTGCCCAGGGCAACTTCCCAGGATTGCCAAACATCTGGAGGCTGGAGACTGAATGAGCAGGATTCTGATGTCACAGAGGACATGCTGTGAGGGGATGATTATTACTGGCCCTGGTCCTCTCCCCTCCCCTTCATATAGGTACCTCATAAGCCTTAACCAAGCACTTAGGTATCTGGTATCTGTCTAATCTGAAGGAAAGAGCAGTGACTCAGTCTGTGGCAGGTCATTGATGGATGAGTATTTCACTTGGCTGTGCAAAAGGCTCTGATTTTGACCACTAAAAGCAGAGCAATTTTTTTCACCAAGTTCACCAGAGCCCTAAGCATGGAGCAGACAATCAATTTTATCATTACAACCCCAGACCCACAGCCTGGGTGCCTGACATGGGCCAAGCCAGCCACTCACCAGTCTCGGTGTTCTCGTGTTCTGTGTCGGTGAGCGTGAGGTTGGAGTTGGCCCTGCTGGACAGGCAGGAGCTGCGGCCTGACCGTGTGCTCCGTCCCCACATCCTCACGGGGTGTTCTGGGGACAGGACAGTGTCGGCCTCCATGTCTGCATCAGAGCTGGCTCCTATGGAGTAGCCGCAGTGGGGGAGGCCGATGTCAGTCCGGTACAGAGTCCCATGAGGGGGCGTCACCTCCCCGAGCCCCAGCTCATGCAGTGTGAAGTTGGCTCCTGCAAGGAAAAACAGGTGAGCTTAGTTAGGCTGCTGAGGAGGAGCTGCGCCCATCAGAAGTCTGGCTCCTTGTCCCCCAGGATTTACAGCTATTCTTGGAACATTCCATGCCCTGTGCCTTTGCTCAAGCCATTTGCTCTGCCAGTAGTGCTCTTTCTCTTCCTCTCTGCAAGCCCAAATCCTCCTTTAAAGCCCAACTCAAATGGTACTTCCTCTGTGAATATTTTCCTAATACCTATTCCCAGTGTAGAATGAATCCTTTCTTCCTCTGAGCTCCCCACCAGAGTCTTTGGGACTGCTGGAACACAACCTCATCAAAGCCAGGAACCATGCCTTGCTTACCTCTGAATCTCTGTATCTAGAGCACATAAATCCCATACTCTGCAGGGGCTCAATTAATGTTTGTTAAATTAAATTGAGGGATTCAGGTCTCTTCTTCCAATCCAGAGAGCACTTGCCTGAAAGGAGCACTCCTGAGCAGAGCACAGTCATAGTCAATGTGATACTAATAGCTCCCTGGGACCAGAAGTTCCTTCCTGGCAGAGAAAAGTTGGCCTTGCACACAGAGAATAGCTTATGCCTTCCATGTCCTCACACCAGGTGGTGCAATGATGGGGAATCAGCAGACTCTGAATAACCTAGAGAGCAAGCCATACAGCCAAAGCTGGGCCAGTGATGGCTGGATCTCTTGGGAGCTCTGGAAGGCTTGGCAATGCCCAAGACTGAGGCCTGGGGCAATTTTCAAGACCGAGGGTTGAGGCGAGTTCACCCAGGGATTAGTATTTAAGTGACAGAGAGAATGTTAAATTTCATACGGAAGCAGAGCCTTAAAGTTATTCCTGAATGGTCATGTATTGTCCATTCAGGGATTGCTTCTCCCATGTTTCTTATATTCCTAAGAGTGCTTGGGAGGGATGAGAAAGAAGAGGTGGACTAAGGCACAGGGCCATATCCCAATTAAACCAGAGACCTGGGAAATGGACTTACAAATCAGACTGTTGCTATTGTGTGGTATCCAGTCAATTCCAACTCATAGCGACCTCTTGTGTTGGAGTAGAACTGCCCATATGATTTTCTTGACTGTAATCTTTACAGAAGCAGATTGCCAGATCTTCCTCTTGGGTTCAAACCGTCAACCTTTCAGTCAGCAGCTGAGTGCCTAACCATTGTGCCACTAGGGTTCCTTTACAGTTAGGTAGCACCTAGCTATAAACCAATTTGGGCTGGTGCTGGGGATACAGCAGTGTCCAGGGCATGGTGCTTGTCTTCACAGAGCTCAGAGTCAAAACCAACCAAAAAGCACAATTTTGTGGGGGAGATACAACCAGAAGCACAATTAGAATTCAAAGTAAAAAATGGGAAGATCCCTGGGTGGGTAGAAGTTGGTATATCTGAATGAGGGACTCTTTTTTTGGATGATAGTGAGTGGAGAGAACAGGGTAAAAAGAAGAGGTGAATACTTGACCTGAATGTCAAAGGAGTCTAGCAACCAACGGGTAAGACACACTGGGACAAGTCAGTAAAGGAAAGCAAGAAGGAACTGCCGGAGAGGTAGGAGGAAGCAGCAGAGACGGTTTCCAATGACAGCTGCGTATGTTCGTCCCTCGTGTCAAATAAACCCTGTGCTTTCTGAGTGTCTTGCTCATCTCTGTATCCAACGCCTATAGTGCAATGCAGGTGCTCAATAAACGTTAGCTAAATAAACAGAGAAACAAACATATACTGGCAGAGCCTTGGAGGTTGTACAATGGGAGAGGGAAGAGAGAAAGGAAAGACCAGTTAGGACACTGCTGAAATATGAGCTGCTGAGGCCTGGCTGTGGCGGTGGGAAAAGTGTGCCCCAAGCCCGAAACTCCAGCGCTTCATATTGCTATGGTCTCAATGAAATATCTCCATACTGGTTGATAAGTAACTGATGTCTGAGTTTCCTCACATTCAATGCCTATCCCCGCCCCCCCTCCCCCCCACTTAATTCCAGCTCATCGCTTGCAAACCACCAGCTCTTCAGCTCACCATGATCCAGTAACTAAACAACAGGAGCCTACAGGTTCTCCTGTAATGGCCAAGCAGACACTTTGATGGGCCAGGGCCTGGGCCAGACCCAATGTTAAATGTTTTGAGTATCACCCCTTTGTGCCACATTCTACTGTTCTATTTTGCCTTCCCTCTAAGCAAAAGGAAACACGGCATTGGAACCTAAATTCTCCCATCTGCTTCCTACCTTCTTCATACTCCGTGGCTGCCGCTCCATTTGCCTCCTTGCACCCTTGTCCTGGATACTCCCCATCCTTGTCCAGGACACCCACACCCTCTCCTCTCCTGGCCCACATATCAGTGCTCTGCTGGGTCAGCTCTCTCAAGAGAGGCCGCTCACATGTTATGAAGAGTGACTGCTACATTAAGTGAAAAATCAAATTTATTTGCAATAAACAGCCAGAGCTGCATTGATTTCCACATGGCCTGCCCTGAATACCCTTTTAAGCAGTTAGACTCAGCATCAATATGAGTGGGCAGTGACACCCTGGGCTAGATACACGAGGTGAGGGCTGACTCTGACAGCTCATGATCCTGGCAAGCTAGCCTGGCCCCTGTGATGTGAGAATGGAAGATGTATTTACCAAATGTGAGAAGTCCTCATTGTGTGTTTGCTTTGGGTCCTTTTGTCGCTTTACTGAAGAGCTCAGGACACTTCATTTGACATCTGGCTGTGCAATCTCAGGCAGGGCACATAACATAACTGAGGCTCAGAGCCTCAGTGTTCTTGTCTTTAAAATGGAGTGATTATCTATGAACTGCTATCCTCACAGGATTTTTGAGGATACAGTGAAGAAGAGCACTTCGTAAACTGCAATGCACATGCCTGCCTACAAGACAAAAATGCTCTTACTTATTGTTCACAAAGGCAAGAAGGACTCCACTGCTGAGCTTCACGTGCTGGGGTAGCATTCAGAACAGGGCAGGACAGGCTAGCTGGCCTCAGCACAGGGAGGATAGAGCTAGAAGAAAGCTTGGAGACCATCTTGTCCTTTGTCCTCATTCCTAACATAGGAAACAAAGACTCATTGATGCCCATTAATGGTAAGTAGCATTTATGGAATAGGGAAGTGGTGGCATTCTCTCCTTCCATGAGGACTTTCCACATTCATTTCCTGCCAATTACCTCAAGTGAGCCCATCCCCAACTGTCAGTGGAGGCTTGTGTATTTCTATGATGCTGCACAGGTTTCAGTGGAGCTTTTAAACTTAGAGAGATTAGGAAGAAATGCCTGGTGGTCTACTTCTGAAAAATTAGGCAGTGACAACCCTGTGGATCACAACTGTCTGATCCTGTTGTGCATGGGGTTGCCATGAGTTGGGGGACTCAAGGACAGCTAAGAACAAGAGCAGCATTTATGGAACACCTACTCCATGCTAAAGGTTCCCTGGGAGGCACAAATGATCACGCACCTGGATACTAACTGAAAAAATGGTGTGCTCAAACTCACCCAGAGGCACCTTGGAAAAAAGCCCTGGTGATCTGCTTCTGGAAGGTCACAGCCTTGAAAAAACATACAGAGCAGTTGTAGTCTGCAACATGATGTCAGCGTGATTCAGACTGGTCACAACTGTGTTGTGGTGGTGGTTTCTATGCTAGGTACTGCACTAGTGCTCTGTTTACAGTCCTCATTAATCCTCACAAAAATGCTGCCACTGGATAGGTGCAACCATTATTTCAGAGCACAGGTCAAGAAACTGTGGCTAGTAGAAACAGCAGAGCCAACATTCAAGTCCAGATCTAATGCCAGAGCTTGTGCTTTTAACTACAACTTGGAACAGAGTTGAAGAGCCCTCATTTCTCAAGGCAGCCTTGCTAACAGATCAGCTTTTATGGGGACCTAGGCTACATGAGAGAATGGAAAGGAGGCTGGCTGAGGAGGAGGTCACAGGTGGGTTGTCAGATCATGAGGGAAGATGGGATGGTGGTGACCAACTGCTCTTGCCTCTGTGATCTTAGGCAAGTGATTCAGTCTCCCCATGTCCCAGTCTACTCTTATAAAATAGAGAGTACAACTGTATCTATCTCATGGAGATGTTGTAAGGATTAAATAACAATGTCAAAATGTACAGACATTACACAGCACAGTGTCTGGCTAGCTCTGTTTGTGGAGTGGGGGAGGAGGAGGGCAGACTTAGGGTGGGCTGCATGAATAGTCAGACACTGATAGTGACAGACCAGGCATCAAAGAGGGCTTCAGTCTCTGCAGGCAGAAAAGCAGAAATCATTGAAGCGCCTGAGTGAAACAACTATCGCACCAGGTGTGAAGAACAAAGAACAGTTCAGTGAGGCTAGAGCATAAGGAGTGGGATGTAGAGGGGCATGGAATAAACCCTCCAGGAAGACAGAAATGGACTCAGGGAAAACTGCTGTATACCAGTTTCAGGAGTTTAGAGTTCAGTTTAAAGGCACCATGTGGGCTGCAGTGCAGAGAATGACCCAAGGGGGAAGCATTAGGTGAAGAAAGGGTTGTTGTGGTCAGTCCTCCCAGAGATGACAGTGGACTGAAATGGAAGAAGGGATGGATTTGAAAGATATTCAAGGTATTATGACTGATGGTGGTGTAGTGAATAAGGCACTGGGTTGCTAACCAGAAGGTCAGTGGTTCAAACCCACCAAGTGCTCTGCAGAAGGAAGATGGGGAGATCTACTGCCGTAAAGATTTACAGCCTCGGAAACCCAATAGGGGTTGCTATGAGTCAGAATTGATTCAATGGCAGTGAGTTTGGATTTTGGTTTGTATGTGGGAAGTGAAGGAGAGGGCAGCAGGTACCAGAATGTCTTTCAAATAGTGTCTACCATTTCAAAAGTTTCTTCCTTTCAAGGTCAACACAGTGCTTGACACAAAGAAGGTATTCAAGATATGTTTGTTGGATGAATAAATAACAGTACTAACTTTGTGTTACCATTTCTTGAGTACTTACATTGTGTCACCATGCTTACAACTTAGATGTCATGTCATTAAGTCTTCACAATAACTCAATGCAGAGGGTACCATTCATGCCCACTTAACAGATGAGGAGCCTGAGGCTTAGAAGAGAGGGGGTGGTGGCTCTAGACTCAGTCCTAGGCAGCTGATAACTACATCATCATGACAAGGAAGAGGGTGAGAGTGCAAATAAATGGGCTATGAATTAATTATATTGTTGGGTGCCTTCGAGTTGATTCTGACTCATAGCTTGGCTATAATCTTTATTGAACCAGATCTCCAGGCTGTGATACACAGAGCCCCTGGTTGGTTGGAACCACCACCCTTTATCTTCACAGCTGAGAAATTAACCATTGGGCCACCAGGGATGAATTAACTATTGGGCAGGTTTTTACCACATCTACAGGCTGGAGGTAACAAAACAAAAGAAACTCTTAGTGGATCTGGCTTGCATTCCTGCTCACTTGCATCCACTCCTAGGTGCATACCTGCTTGCACAACTGAACCCAAGCCCCGCTCCCTGTTCCCACCCTCACCTGTCCTGCAGAACTCCTCTGCCTCCTGTGGCACCATATCTTTGACGCGGCTGCCATAGGCGAGGCGGGAGTCCTGGTCGTAGGCCTTCAGGGTCTCACTGGAGCTGTAGGACTTCTGCGGGGCTTTGCCCTCCTCGCTGTCAGCAGATGAGCTGGTGTAGCGGCGCTCAGTGTCACGACGCCGGGTAAGCGAGCGGTACGGTTTCCTCTCTTTCACGTCCATGGCTTCTGGCTCGTGCTCCTCCACATCCACAAACAGGGTCCTCGCTGCACTCAGGGCTGAATGGTCTGCAGCTGAGAAAATAAAAAACAGGGCATGAACTCCAGCTCCAGGAAGCAAAGGCAATACCCAGGTCCACTGGGGACTTCAGTTGACCTGTCTCATGGATTGTGCAAGGGGCAGGAGGAACACCAGGCTTGGAGAAGTGAGGGCATTGCTCCACCACCATGCAGTCAGAAGTAGCAGCGGAACACTGCTCCCAGGCCCTTGTATACGATTCCTGTCTCTTTCTGCTACTCGGCCTATGCACCGTGAAGATGCTTCAGCCTCTCCCTGAGTGATCCATATCAAGGAAGCTGACAACAAAAGCTAATGGGCACTGCTATTTAGTAAGTCCCCTAAACTGGAGCCACATCTGTTTTGTTCCCCTCACATCCCCAGCTGGGACAAAGGCTGACACAGAACGAGGCTCCATAAAGATCTGTGAAATGCATGACTGTACTCAGGCACTGGGATGAACACTTTGCATATATTACCTCATGAAATGCTCATGGTGGTTTGGAGATGTTATGACTGTCTCAAATCTTTTCCTGGAATGAATCAAGGTATAAACAACCAACCCACATTTATCACCACCAGATACATTATATTATTATTTACTTGTGGTCTGTCTCTTCCCATTAACATATAAGCTCCATGAGAGTGCATGCCTCACTTGCTTTGCTCACTCATGATCTACAGCAGCTAGGGTACATTGGAGTACTGACACACAGTAACCAGTAACCAGTCAGTTACCCTCGAGTTGATTCCAATTCATGGAGACTCCATGTGTGTCACAGTAGAATTGTGCTTCGTAGGGTGGAGTTTTCAATGACCGATTTTGTGGAAGTAGATCACCAAGCCTTTCTTCTAAGGTGCCTCTAGGTGGACACAAACCTTTAACCTTTTGGTTCACTGTTAAGCACATTAACCATTTATAACACCCAAAGATTCCTGGCACACAGTCAAACCCATTGTTATTGAGCTGATTCTGACTCATAGTGATGCTGTATGACAGAGTGGAACTGCTGTACTGGGTTTCCAAGGCTGTAAATCTTTACAAAAGCAGACTGCCAGATCTTCCTCACAGAGGGCATGTGGTACATTTGAACAGCTGACCATTCTGTTGGCAGCTGAGCACCATGGGTCAGCTGTGCCACCATGGCTCCTTTGGTACACAATAAAACAAAAAAACCTCATTGGATCCGACTCATAGCGACCCCTCCTTGGGTTTCCGAGGCAGTATCACTACCAAAGTAGATTGTCCAATCTCCCTTCCAAGCAGTGGCTGGTGGGTTTGAACTGCTAGCTTTCTGGTTAACAGTCAAATGCCTTGTTGTTGTTATGTGCCCTCAAGTCGGATCCGACTCATAGCCACTCCTTGGGTTTCCAAGGCAGTATCACTACGGAAGTAGATTGCCCAACCTTCCTTCTGAGAAGTGACTTGTGGGTTTGAACTGCCAGCCATCTGGTTAGCAGTCAAATGTCTTAGGCACTACATCACCAGAGCTCACCTTAGGCACTAGACACCCAATAAATATGTGTCTAATTAACTGGCTAACCAATCACTAGCAGACAGATGAGAACACTGAGGTTCAGAACCTCCCCAACTTAGGTGGTACTCAACAAAGCCAGGATCTGGACCTCACTCTATAGCTCCTGTTCTGTCTCGCTGTGTTCCCTCCCTCCCTCTCTCACTACACAAAAGTGATCTTGCAGTCAGTCAGGTTTGCCCCAATACACCAGACCTCACCTTCGACTTGTCCTTTTCACCAATGGCACCATCAGCACTTGGGGAAGCCTCAGTGTGCATCCACATGTCCCTGCATACAATTGGGGTGCTTGTTCGGCAGGAAACTCACATCCATCCTTTCTTGTCCCTCTCTTAACTCTTTTACCTTGGATTGACACCCTGGGATTTTTCAACTGTGATAGCACCCTCCTTCTCAAGTTGTAAAATGTCTTCCTTTAGCTCAGGGTGGCAAATGTAATTTCCTACAGGGGCCAGGAGATAAGTAAAGGAGGACAGTGGAGTATTTCCCACAGAGAGATAGGAGATTTTTCATTTTTCCTGAAAAACTTCTTAGTTCTGTCTTTCATTGTTTCATTTTTCATAATAGCATTGTTCTTGTTGGGTGCTGTCAAGTTGATTTCAACTCATAGAGACTCCATGTGACAGAGTAGAACTGCCCCATAGGATTTTCTCTGGTAGCATAGTGCCTAAGGCACTTGACTACTAATCAGAAGGCTGGTGGTTCAAACCCACCAGCCACTCTTCAGAAGGAAGGTTGAGCGATCTACTTCTGCAGTGATACTGCCTCAGAAACCCAAGGAGGGTCACTATGAGTCATTTCCAACTCAATGGCACATAACAACATCAAAAATCTTCACTGGAGCAGATCGCCAGGTCTTTCTCCCTTTCGGTTAGTAATCGAACACTTAACTTTTGCACCACTGGTGCTCCCTCATAACAATATGGGCATTCAAAACATTCTGCACTTTAACTGTCCTATTAGAGACACAAAAGAGCAAGAGCTATGACAAACGGCGCTGGCACCAAGTCTCAGTATCTGACAGCAGTGGGGAGTGGTGGGGCTTCTGATAGACTAGAGGAGGGGATATAGTCCAAGAGGGCAGTAGGTAGCCTATGCTGCAATGAGGGAGTGTGGGAGTCTTGTGAATTTTCAAGACAAGCTGGAAATTTACATGTTTGACCACTTCCACTTCCCTGGATGTTATTTCTGTGGCTTCAATGCATTATTATAATAAATAATGCATATAGCTAACTAGGTGGTCCATCTACTTTAACATCTGCCTCTCCTCTTGACTGTAGTTCCTTGAGGGTAGATCTGGGTTTTCTTCTCTTGCTTCCCCAAAATGAGTCCAGGGACTGCTAGGTGAACAAATGAATTTATTACTTGGTAGGTACTTCATTCCTTTTTACCAATCTTAAGTAATATAAAATACTGGCAGTTCAAAATAAGCAAACATATACTAGGTATAACTAAGAATGAATTATGTAAAGGCATTGCTTAAATGTATTCTTTTTAAATTTCAAAGGCAGCCTGTGTTTGGAAGTATGTGTCCACTACTTAACAGTTGTTTGACTTTGAGTGTTGTTGTTGTTGTTGTTATGTGCTGTCGAGTCAGACCCGATTCATAGCAACTCCTCCTTGGGTTTCAGAGGCAGTATCACTATGGAAGTAGATTGTCCCATCTTCCTTCCGAGGAGTGGCTGGTGGGTTTGAACCACCAGCCTTCTGTATTTAATTTCTCTATGTTTTGATTTCCTTGTCTGTAAAGTACCAACCTCATAGGTTGTTCTCAGAAGTAAATGAGTTAAGACATGTATTATGGTCCCTGGTTCATTATGGGTGTTCAATATATGTCACTGATAATCATCTGAAAGAAATTTTTTTAAAAAAGACATTTTAGAAGGCTTCAGCTAGGTGTCAGTTACAATCAGTGAAGGAACATCCCTTCAGAACATGTTAATAAGACTAAGACATTTTAGGTTGTTAAGTTGGCGGATGACTATGACTTCTTATCAGTATCTGACTGTTGACTGAAGACAGTGGCTTCCAGGCAAAGGCTTCATCACTAGAAATTGTTAGGAACATAGTTACAAGACTCACTTTCCTTCACAAAGCAGAGGCCAAGTGAGAACATTCACTTTGCTCTTATTTCCTATTTATTTATTTACATTTTAGGCTTAATATAGAAATCCAGGAAATATATATTATTTTTGAACAGATAGGAGGTTGGCCATGGTTCATACTTAAATTGGCATTTAATATATAGAGAAAGAAGAGTTGGGATGAAAAAGAAGAGACAATGGAGAAAAGCTGTCCTTAGAGCAAAAGTATCCAGAATGTGACACTGAGACCCCTGGCAGGAGGATGTGTGGAATGCTGGGGAGAAGTGCCTACCTCAGATCCTTCAGATTCTTCCCAGATCAATTCATGAGCTGGGAAGTGATACACCAGAAATATATTCATGCTGAAACACATCGTGTCCCCTCCCTAAATATGGGATGACTTCCTGGCCCTTGTACCTGTTGGGAAATAGGGCTTTTCTTTTGTTATGTTAATGAATCCATCATTCTGTAAGATGGGTCCTAAACCTAATCAATTTTGAATTATAAAAAGACCAGAACAGACACAGACACACAGGGGGAAGACAGGCCCCACAAGAATATCATCTACAAGCCAAGGAACCCAGAAACTCCCAGGGTTACTGACAAGGAAGGAATCAACATGGCTGAGAACAAGATTTGGACTCTTAGCCTCCAAAACTGCAAGAACACTGGAACTTCTTGTTCTTCAAAGCCACACACTTGTGGTATTTGTGTTATTACAGCACTAAGCAACTAAGATATCTCCTTACCTGACAATCTCTCTTTTTCCTCATTGCTTATAAAATCCATTAGTATGACATTCAAGGCCTCTCACGACCTGACCCTGCCTAACTCTCCCTCTATTTCCCTCTACTACCCACAGATCAACCTGTCACCCTGTTTCATCCTTTCCAGACATGTACCATCTATTTCAGTTCTCATGAAACTCTGCTTAGATGTTAGATACCCCATTGTTGTTGTTGTTATGTGCCGTTGAGTTGGACCCGACTCAGAGAGACCCCTCCTTGGGTTTCCAAGGCAGTATCATTACGGAAGTAGATTGCCCCATCTTCCTTCTGATGAGTGGCTGGTGGGTTTGAACTGCCAGCCTTCTGGTTAGCAGCTAAGTGCCTTAGCCACTATGCTACCAGAGCTCCCGTTAGATACCCTATGCTCTTTAATATGGCTGAACCTCTGTTACACTCTTCTCCTGCTCACCTCCTAGGCTGGTTCACCTCCATCTGCCTCCTCAGGTCCATATTCTACCCTTCTCTGCTCCGCTGTACACCCAGGAGACTGAGCTCTGTGAAATGCTCTACTTGGCTTCCTTGCCATCAATCTTCCTGTTGGGTTCAGCCAAGGGAAGAATCAGAAGGAGACTGGGAGGCAGGTCGGTGGTTGATGAGAGTTCAG